CCCCAGCACCACCACCACCACCACCACTACCTATAGGTGAGACTCCTCGACCTCCGAGGCCGATCCTGACGCCTCTGCTTCGTGGACGGTGGATAATCAGCACGTCTCATGGTGGTGGAGATGCACAAACAAGGGTGTTATGCGTGTGGATGGATGTCTTTCTGTTTGTACACACTGCAAGCAAGCGGCTCTGAATGTTTCTGTGTGATCGTGTAATCATGCCGTGGTTTTGTCCAAAGAAGATCTAAATTAATGAGTAAACAAAACTCGCTAAAAAGTACTAATTAGTTCATGAAAATGGGCATAAAACACTTAAATGTGTAACATCAACTTCAATAATGGATGCAGCTGTTCTCTAAAGTTGAAAGTCTAAAATTTCTTCCCATAATTTGCCCATTAACTGAAACAACATTATTTAGGAAATGAGAAAAGGACGGAAATCTGATTGGCTCTCGACGGCTGATGTTGATCTTCTGTACATCAGCCAGATTCCCTGGTTCTTTAGCTCTGTAGGAAATGACTGGCTGATGCTGATGGTCTTGCTTGCAGTGTGAACAGGCTCTGTATGTGCTTCTGTTTGGAGACACAGCAGGTTACATACTATATGAGAAAGTGTCTGGCTTTTTCTGATTCAGTTCCGTAACATTTTTCTCAATCCTCTGGTGGTGGTGCTTCGTTATTCTTCACCAATATGCTGTGATTGGCTAATAAAGAAGTCTCATATTACCTAAGGCCTGGCAAAAATTACTGCCTGCAAAATTTCTAAAATTGTTAAGTTACATGTAAGTAGATGATAACTTTAACATCCCAGAAATAAAATTGAAGGCCCCCAAATTGAGTTCCTGTATTCCATACAAATATGTAAAATCAATTTACCTTGAGGACTTTGAGGCTTCTTTTGCACAGGTATGTTACTGTTTCATTTGAGTTATTTTACTTTTCCCAGAGAAAAGTGAGTGCAGTTAAAGCTGCAACAGGCAAAATTTTGCTGAATTCTTTCTTAAACCATAACTGGGCCTGCAACAGAGAAGAACCATAGTTTAGCTCAGTCCAGTAACAGCATTAGTGTTTGCTAAGTGGAAATTTATGTAATCACTAAATTAAAACTGGTTACACCACACATTTAGTTCTTGCGGAGAGATGAATATACATTTTTACACCCAGTAACTTCCGATTGTACGTGTTGAATAGCAAACTGAACCAGCTGAAAATATTAGCTTGCTAATACATGACCAGTTTGGATTTAGGAGTAAAAATAAGTAATGGATTACGGTTGACATATCTGACCTGATCAAAATACCGCTTAATAACATAAAACATAAAATAAATGTTCATAAATTAAAATGTCGTGCCTAAATTTATAACCATTGTTGGATAACTTTAATATATTGTTTGGCTCCTAAAACTGTTATGTTGTAATTTATGTTGCAGCTTGTGATGCCACAGTGACTTCCTGTTATCATAGTTAATTGCTTTTGATTGGATGGCATTTCCTAGCAACAAGGTTACACAGTACTAGTGTAGTCTTTACTAGCTGAATGTTTTAATGGTGCAACCTGATTTAGTGAATCACTTCATTTGAAATTAGCTAGTACTTAACTACCTTAACTAACTACTTAACAAGTAATGGATTTACTAATAGCCCAGTCCAGGTGCCAGGTATGGCCACTGCTCTCACATTAAGTAATAAATTGCTACCTGAAATAACAACAGTGAGGCAGCAGTCGATTCTGATGCTAGACTCACAGATGATGTCGCATAATAAGATTTCCTGGATAATGAAGTTTTAAAATATTCAACTCTGGCCATTCGAGTCCAGCAAACATTCAATTTTGCCTAATGTAGCTTTACCTTACACGGGGTATTGACTCACTGAGTGATAACTGGCTTTGATTTACTGTCAGAGGCTCTGAAAGGCTGAAAAACATCCAGCTGTTTGATTCCTATCAACTACTCTGTGTGTGTGTGTGTGTGTGTTTGTTTACAGCGTCTGCTTATATCTGCAATATTGAGCAAGATGATCACTTGAAACATGCACATTTTATCCTCCGTACATCGATGCACCCTTTCAGCTATAATTACTTCTGCCAGTGACAATGTGGAGAAGTTTGTTTGCTCCTGTGTTCCTCTGAAGCTTTACTTCCTCCGGTTCCACCCATCCCTATCTGAGAGCAGGGCCCGTCCTTAGAGACAGTATGTTATCTAGAAATGTGAAAAGGAAATACTCTCTTTAACCCCTTCTCTCCCTCTGTGTTTTTGTCTTTCACACACACACTGCTTCTATAATCTTAAGATATTTCAGCGTATTTAATGTTGTGACAGTGCTGTTGTTTTGAAGGGATGATCTGGTTATTATTAGACAACCAGGGTAACGATACACATGTGCACTCAATCGTGAACTCTCCCTCTCTTTGCGATTGCTCAAGCACATTCACAATCCAAAAATGTGTTAGAAAAGTTATTTTCACTGCCAGATCAGTCTGTTCTGTTGCTGCTTCTCCTCTTCTCTTTGCTCACTGAGTCTTTTGCTACAGTTTTCCTTTATTACAACATTTCTACAAGAACCTTTTGGGTGCAGGATTCATTTGGATGATCTTTTGGGACTCACTTTACCATCGTGAAATATCTCTGCGTAACAGTGTTATCAATTAACGATCTGTGTTGCTTCCCTAGCTCACCTGCTCCCTTTAATTGGTTATTGATTGTCTTTTTATAAGGTGTGGGGCTCGAAATCAATTTTTAAAAGCTCACATTTTACAATCTTGATGATTCATGTTTTGGGTGCTTTTTTTTTTCTCTTCTTTTCGTCTAACCCCCCTTCCCTCTTCGGTCCTGTCTGTCTTTCTTCTCTTCCTTCCCTTTTCTTTGGGTGTTTCTAGTGGTGGCCCCTGGGCCTGGTCTGGGCCCCGCTCCAATGTCCCAGTTTGGAACCATCTCGCGGCAGATTTCGCGGCACAACCCCTCCAACTCCTCTGTCTCTATGGTTTCGGCCACGGGCACCTACCGCCGGGCGCCGTCGGTCACTTCCCAGTTCTCCTTGCAGCAGCAGCAACAACTACAGCAGCAACAGCAGCAGCAGCAACAGCAACAGCAACAGCAGCAACAACAACAACAGCAGCAACAGCAGCCTCATATTAACGGAGGCACACCTGGCTATGGCCAGAATTCAAGTAAGGCCCTTCTGTCTCCAGTCCCAGCCTGCTTTATAGATCCTGAACTGTCACTGAAGCACCAAACTTCACATTTTTCCAAGTCATGCACAGTCACAAACTGAAGCAAGCTAACCTTTGTAGCCGCAGACCCAATATTTCATGTTTGCAAGTGAGTCACTGCTTTCTGAAGGTCGAGCTTGTCAGAATTATTGAATTTTACTTTGAGTCTGAAAGCGCAGGTTGAGGCTTTTTATCCAACTGTCAGACGTCTTTAGTATTGATACAGAATGTCTCGTGTTTGGGTTCTGCAGCAGATACAATGCAGACAATCGATGTCTGCCAACAACGCATAGACACAGTTTTTGCCCGCAGAAGTTAACCTGGAAATGCATTTCTCTGTACATCATGTGGATTTGGGTTGCTTTAACACTCATCTAGCTGCTGTCTTTAATTCTGGTATTAACATGTGATCAGTATCTGGATACACTGTCTGGGTGATGGCATCCACTCCAGGGGCATTTGCATCTGTTATTAAAGAATCACCTTGATTCTGCCCGAATTGTGATGGGATCTTAACATGCAAATTACTTGGACGGGGCCAGCTTGCCACCATCAGTCGTCATCTCATTTTTAAGTCACTTTTAAAGGGAAGAATGGCTAGCTGCTGCTTGAAGCTTGAGATAGCAGGAAAAGGCGGAATTAGGTGACATTTTAACTTGCTGGGAGGATTATTTCCCTTTGAATGTGGTCTCACTGTAGGGATTGCATTCACACCTGGTTGAGATCAGATCACAATGTGAGCCGGACCACCTCCAGATGTGGCCGATTGCATTCCAATCATAATGTGTTCCCTGTGCATTGCTTTGTTCCTTATCCATATATATTATCCAGAACCAGACTGCATGTTAATGCCAGGTGTAAATGGTGCTCTAGTGCCTCATCTCCTTAAGACAACACCAGCCTCGATGGGCGTTTACTGAAGCACTGGGCTTAATGTGTTCTGCAACTGTTGATTAGTTCAAGTGTCCCTAACTTGGGATTGAACAAATGATTTTTGAAAAGTCAAAAAAAGAAAAAGAAAACAAGAATTCAGAGTACTCTGTACATACATAACAGGTCTGAAGGGAGTTCAGCAGGCTTGTCCTGGACTGAGGTGGAGGTTGATAGACATCCAAGGCAAACAGTGCCTCCTTCTGGCCACTGGAAATTCACTTCTTTTAGAGCCATGAGTGGGAACTGTCTTGACTGACAGAAATCAGACATAATCCAGGGTTTATCCTCTGGCCTCAGTGATCTCATCACACTCACAGACATCCCTGAACCTTTCAGTGTTACAGCATTTGTGTCTGATCTGTGGAGATGCTGCAGCTGCAGACAGTTGAATGAATTAATCTGTTACCTTTTTTTAAAAATTGGTAATTTTACTCTTGTAAAAAGTCTCATTTGGAATTTATAAAGTTTCTGTTAACTGACAGGTTAATTGATTTGACTAAGCATTTCAAGTCTGTCACTGTTGCACATCACTCTGTTCTGTCCTATTAGATGTATACAAGCTCACAATTCTTGCAGTGTGTTGTGTCTTTGGTCTGTATCCGTGTTGTTTGCTTGGGATCAGCGTGCACTCTTAACTGTCTTCTGTATATTCTTGGTGACTGATGGGCTTTCTCTTTCTTCTTCTTTTTTTTTGTTTCTCTGCCTTTCTGTCTTTTCTCTGCTGGCTTTCAGTGTCTATCGCTCCTCCTCCTCCCCCCATGCCCCAGCTGACTCCACAGATACCTCTGACTGGCTTTGTGGCCAGGATGCAGGAGAGCAGTAAGTGAAGAGGCATAGACATACTTTTAAGCCTTCTCTGTGCCAATTATTCCCATTCCATTTCCTGAACACCCAGCATGCCTTGTGCTTGTTCACCCCCCCCGTCTGTTGACAACAATTAATACCAACCTCTTTCAACAATGAACCATCTAAGAATGTGTCTCATTAGAGTCTCTTCATAGTTTATGTAACTTAATGTAGCTTTATCTGCTGTTTGGAGATTTGTTTCTTCACGTGTTACAGTTCCTTAGTAGCAATAGGGGTATAATACATAGCTGCTGACGTAATCCCTTTCTTTTTAAAATACGTGCAGTGCAAAAGCAACCAACTGAGATTGTCGAGGGCCACCTAATCTGCTTTTTGTGATTTAGTGTCATGCAGTGGCTTTTATCGCCGACTGAGGCTTGGTATTCGTATGTTGAATGTTCTTGTAGCACTGCAGGGTTGAGCTGAGGTGAATGATAATGTTTAGGGGGGGGGAAGTTCCAAAGGTCTCTGCAAAACCGGACTGGAGAAGATGGGGCTCTTTGCTGCACCCTGCTGGTCCAAAACCTACAATACAGTTGAAGTGTCTAATTCTTGACAGGAAACTGGTTTTAAGGTTTTAAGCAATTATAGTGTAAGGGAATGATGATTAAAATGATTATAAAGCTATCTACCTACCTTTTTTCATACCTTTTTCGCAATGTAGATGCTATAACCTAATAAAGAGCATGACTCTGCATGTAATAACCATCTGAAGATCATAATAAGTTTTCAAAAGTCCTAGATAGTTCTCTTTTTACCACACGTGCATGTCTGAATAGAGTCTCAGAGCCACAACAAGTGGAGCACAAAGCTTCACGAACCACTTAAGAGACTTAAACATACAGTGTATGCTCCTATCAAGTGGGAAGTCCTAACAGTGATGCAGCCTGCTTGATGAATTTAACCTTAAAGTACCTTCCATACACTCTTCTGCATGTCTTATCATTAATTCTGCATGATTCTGCCGTCCGACCTCTCCAGCACCAGGCTCACGTTGACCAGCGAAGCTTTGAACCTCACTTCCTGTGTCCGTTAAACAGTTGCAGATACTCCCACTCCGCCTCCCCCTCCGCCTCCGGATGACTTGCCCATGTTCGACGACTCTCCTCCACCTCCGCCGCCCCCTCCAGTGGACTACGAGGAGGAGGACGCCGCCGTCGTGCAGTACAACGACCCCTACGCTGACGGAGACCCGCAGTGGGCACCCAAGAACTACGTGGAGAAAGGTTTGCTCAGAGCGCAGCATGTTTTTTTTTTTGGATGATGCTCAAGTCTTAACATTGGCTCATGTCCTCTAAACAAATCTCTCCGTTGCCGTTTTCAGTGGTAGCCATCTACGACTACAGCAAGGACAAGGACGACGAGTTGTCTTTCATGGAGGGGTCGATCATTTACGTCATCAAGAAGAACGATGACGGCTGGTTCGAGGGCGTCTCCAGCGGCGTCACCGGACTGTTCCCTGGCAACTACGTAGAGTCCATCATGCACTACGCCGACTGAAGGGACCTCGCAGTAACCGTACAGTCTATTTATTCAGTCATATCATAATCCACTGAGAGACTGACCGCCGCAATCTTGACTCCTGAGACGCATAGACATAACTGTATGATTCCCCTTTTGATATGACAGAATGTTCTTTCCCTTAACTGATTGCAAATAAAATGAAAAGTAATATCTATTTAGTTTATTTTGGTGTTATATGGGTGGGTTGGGGACATTTATGGAATATGTAAAAAAAAAAAAAAAAGAATAAAAAAAAAAAAAGTTTCTAAAGAATTTGACTGCACGGGCTCACACCGGTTGAACTCAAAGACGATGGTCACACAGCTGAAGGGTGTACGACATCATCTTGCTTGGACAAAAAAAATTGGCGATTCGGGACTGAATCTGAACAAGAGTATTAGGTTTGACGGAACAAATAAAATGGCGATGTCACGTAAACGCACCTTCAGTTGAAAGTGTTTGTACTGTCAGTTGTATATAATGTGAGCTGCAGCCACTTGGGTTTATGTAATGTGAATTCAGTGAATGTCGATTATTTGATAGTTTTCATTAGTGGTGCTCTCCTCGACTCCGTAAGGCTCGTTCGTAAAAATAAACGCAGATGGCCTGTTGATCATTTACAAATTTTAAATACTGTATATGGTATTTCAAAGACAAATAATTACTCCTGAAAACCAGTCTTGGCGTGAAAGCATGCAAAATTTTGAGATATAATGTAATCTTAAGTTTATTGCCATTATGCTTCCATTATGTTGTAAATGTATTCACCTTTTTAATTTTTATTACACTGTTGAAATCACTGAACTTTTCAGACTCTGAAGTGAATTTCCAGCTTTCCCATGGTCTCACCCTCTATATGCCGATTTGCATCTTAAAAATGAAATGGAGTTTACTTTTTCATGCATTTAGATCTGTTTGAAGCAAGAGAACACATTCCATATTATTATTTTTGGCTTATCAAGCATTTTAAGGTTATGTCACATCACTGTTATTAACTTTATACTTATCCACTTAAAACCTGTAGGATCCATTGGTAACATTGGAAATAATGGACTCTGATGGACAGCGTGAAGTGATGATTAGACAGGAATTGTCGTGCCTGACACTGCCATGTGACAATTCAGATGTAATGTAGACCAATAAACAACTCTAATACCTCCTCAGTCTTCACCAGGCAACAATGACCTGCTCTGGGTTCAAGGACCATGTTGAATGCTATGAACATGAAATCCTCTGGGTTGCACAGGTGTACATATTTTAACTCAAGTTAAATCAGCCAATCAATATTAGGTTTTACTCAGGTCTAGCAATCATCTTTATAACATTGTATTTTTTCTGTTGGCCCTCGAACGTGCATCTAACATGACCTAATTTTGACTCCAAATCCATTCGTCACCATTTACCATTTCAGGATACTGCAGCTAACGCCTTGATATTTTACCCATTTGCTTTAGTATTTCCAACAAACAAAAACTTATTCCGTCTCAATTTCATGGGTAGAAATCTTGAACTCTATCCCTGTCTGCCCTTCATTTGTACATATAATATGTTGATTGAAAAATTAATGTACAGTCTTTTATAATAAACAATTCTACGTACAACATCCATGTGTGGTCACTTGGAGGGAATCACAAAGGAGCGAAGGCTTGGTTTAAATAAAAAACATAATAGTAGGTTTATTGAGTATACAGTCATTGCAGATGTTAAGGCCTTAGTTGTTAAAGGTCGGTAAACGTTCACAGGTCAAAAAGACATGACTTTTTGACCTCTGGGGGTGTGGACGGATCTCAAAAGACGATAACACAGATCCAAACAAGCACACCAATGACAGTCTCACTTCCATTGTGTTTGGAATCACAGAGATTTTGCAACACCGCCACAGCTCAGCACTAGCATGTAACAAACTGTCAGTCGGCTAGTTCGAGGCCTGGGAGGTTGTTGCCTTTACAGTACTGTATATTGAAGAGTTGGCATGTAGCTTTCAGTGCCATCCATTAATTTGTTTGTTTTACAAAACCGTCACCGTTGATACTGAATCAGAAGATTTGCGCTTAAAAAAGAAGTATGTATTTATACATTGTATTATTAAATAATTCGGCCTCGTGTATTTTTGGGAGTGGTTGAGAGAGCCATGAAACATATCAGTTCAGAGAGACCCCTGTGTGCTGTTTTGATTAGTGTTCAGACAATTGCTGCCATATTCATCGAGTGTTGGTACTAAAATCAGCACCGGGGGTCCTTCGGAACCAAACTCCATCGCTTCTCTCACTGTTATTGTTTGACCCTGGCCTGTGCAGACAGTGCAGACTGTGAGCTGCTTTCCCCACAGGTACAGTAGCTGCCTGAAGTGAATCCCGGCAGAGAACATTCACTTGTCTCTGGTGAGGACCATCTCAGTAAGCCTGATGAGGGCGTCTCTCTCTGCCGACGGCCTCAGCCTGCTGATCTGCCTGATGGCTTCTTGACAATACCGCTGGGCCAGGTAGTTGGTCTGTTGAACGCCATCGCTCTGAAACAGAAAAATAAGGTCTATCCAACCATCTACCTAAGGAAAGTTTGCTGAGCATTGTTGTGTATCGGCAAAATTAATTAATTTTCAATTAAACACATACACCATGATTGCATTTTTGGAGCATTTTGTGAATTCTTAACAGCTTGAGCAGAGAGCACCGAGTTGTGCCATTAATCGTATAAATGTGTTTAGCAGTCTTGGCATCAGCAACCCTTAAAAAAAGAGCACTGTACAAATTAAAATGCCTCCATCATCAACTGAAAGCACAGACTTAAGTGATGTGTTAATATATTGATTTAAGGTTCTGATCACAGTCTTCACTTAATATATCACAAACTTTATTGACTTTTATATTTGTCTATTTACAATAAAAATGCCTCATAAAGGGAAACAGATCTTTTTTAAAGTCTACAGGTAGAAATCTGTATTGATGAATTATTTTCTTTGTTCACAATGCATTATTGGTCATACCTGAAGGACGTACTGCCAGGCTCGATCTACGTCTCCTTTAGAGCTGAAACGTCTCATGATCATTGCGTGGAGCTCAGGAAACTGCAAACACGGAAAGAAATTGAGATAAAGACTGTACAGTTTCTACGAGAACAAATCAAACCATCTAAAATGCTGACGTTGGTCTCACCTGTTGACAAGCAAACAGGACCGGTCCGGTGGCTAAGCCCAGTTTAAGATCTGCAGCTGTGGGCTTCCCCAGATGACTGGCTCCTGATGTAAAGTCCAAGACATCGTCCACCAACTACAGGAGAAAAATGAACCCATAAAATCATTTTATATACCTATTAGACGTTCAAAGTTTAATACTACACACCATTATGTCCTGGATATAAACCAATTGTACTGAGAAATAGAGGATAGTAGAGAAGATTAATGGAGTTTTGGGTCTCACTTTTCAAATAAACTGTACAGTAAACGGCTGACATGTTGTAGCTTGTAGATTTAAAGTGATAGAGAATGACCTGAAATGCGATGCCAACATTCTTCCCGTACTGGTAGGCTATTTCATGAACCTCAGGATCAGAATTCACCAGAATGGATACCTTAAACAAAAGAGAAGAGACAGTCAACAAACAACATTAAATGTAGAAGCCCAGGCTTTTCTACAGCTCTGTGATATTTTCGTGGAGACAGAACGTACATACTGCTTTACAACTGTTTGCAATGAGACTCGCTGTCTTCTTGAAGGTTTTCTCGAGGTAGTGTTTGAACCTCTCGTTCTCGTTCTCTTTAGAGCCCAGCTGCATGAACTCACCTGGAAGCGCAATCAACATATATTAGTGAGTTTGTTAGTGGACGTGTTAGCGGATTCTGAACAGTTTGCTACAAGTTACAGCCTCCAATCTGCAAGGTTTCTTTACTGACTGATGTGGAAAAATAGCACAAACAATCCGACCACTGTACCTCGCACTAGGTCCTCTATCACCTGGGACATCACTTTTACCACTGCGTTGTTACCGATACGAGCCAAGAGCACGGAGGCAGCTGAGAGGATTAAATCTCCGGCCAAGATAGCCTGGAAGAGACAAAACAAATGATATTCTTATCCTGAAAAATGAATGAGAATGAAGTAAAGCAGCAGAAAGTATGAGGTGAGGAGAAAAGGCAGAACTGAGAAGACTCTTTATTTCCCTTACCTTTCTTTCGCCCCACATGTCATTGATTGTTCTCTTTCCCCTCCGTTTATCCGATCCGTCTATGACGTCATCGTGCACCAGGCTGGCAGTGTGGATCATTTCTGAGATCATAGCTAAGGCCCTCTGTCCTGGAAGCAAATCTCTACAGAGGACAAAGAGCGGCGAGAAATTGCAGGAAGTGAGATGAAATAAAACCCTGAATTATGCTTCAAATAGAGTCATTACATTACTTTGGGTTAGTAGTAGCAGCAAATAAAACCGAATGTTTTGTTAAAGTGTGAAGGTCTGGAGTGATTCAGTCTTACCCGGCTCTGTTGCTGTGGATGTTGAGTGCCCGGGCCATCAGGATCACTATAATTGGTCGGATTGCTTTGCCTTTGCCATCAAAGTAGTAGTCACATAGAGACTTCAGCTCATCTTTGGATACGAAAAGTTCCTGCGAGGCAAAGGCATAAAATTAATCTCTTTTATGTCAATCAGAATCAACTAAAACAATAAAAAGACACCCAATTAACTTGTAGTACTCTGATTCAACTTAATGCCCTCCTGACTCTACGCTGTCTGGATCGTTAAGTAACTTAATGTTCGCTGAAAACTCCCATTATTTTATATGTAGAGAGACATAGCAAGTACAGTCTGTGTATTGAAAATGTACCTTTCTGATGTCATCGAATAAACTTTGTAAATCTTTATTGGCTAATGTGAAGGGGTCCATCAGCTTTGCATCACTGTGTATCTTTCTGCAGCAGCAAGACTGTAGTGTGGGATCCAGCAACCGGAACTTGTGTCTGCAGAGAAAGACAACACAAACGGTAAAATGAAGTGTCAATTACACAATTTAACAGGTTACTATTGGTCATTTTTATTGGGTTTTTTTATTTTTATCTGGGACCCTCATTGGCTGAGCAACAGCTGCTCTTCCTGAGGCCCACAGAAAGAGAAATACTAAAACAATTTCATTTGATTATGTAGCTATTGCACTGCTTTACATTTAACCGAAACTTCCAATGTGCTAAAAGCTGTCTGGCAGTGTAATATTATAATAATACGCACAACTGTGTGGTTAAGACAACTCACCTGGTGAGAGATGATGTAAAGTTTAAAGTTTTCGTATTTATCTTAGTTGGTAGTGCCGATGGCCGCCTCTGAAACATCAAAAAGGACACGATACAATAGGACATTAGAAATGATACAACTTTAAGGACAACAATGCCAGCATTTCCCCCTCAAGAATTTAATTCCTGGCAGCTTAGAAAGGTTTTTAGAAACATATAAACCTTAGTGTTTGTAAGTCTAATTTACTGGAACAACAACTGAACAATTACCTGCAATAATACAACATGAAAAATGCAAATAACTAATTATAACAATAATAATGATAATCTGAGATGATGATTTTGGTTTCTGCTTAAAACTATTTGAGGGTGCGTTGAGGAGACCTCAGTTTTTGGAAAATACTGTCTAAAGCTTTGTAGTTTTTACTCTTTTAGTGTTTTTACTATAGAAATCCGAAGTGACAGACATGAGTCAACGACAAATGAATGAATTAATGTAAGGTTTAAATAAATTATTGAATGCACACTTGACCATACGTTGGTTTTAGGCGGACAGCTAACGTTAACTAGGTAAAGAGCAGAGCTTAGTTTAACACCCACAGCAGGTCTTGACCTTTATCCCAGCTGAGTAAGCTCTGAACGAGCCAACACCCCCCCTTTGCAACAAGTCACCACTCATTCAACAAATTCTTACCAAACACAAGAAACTCCTGCAAAACACACACTTCCAGAAAATATCACAGACGCTTAAGGAACAAACCGGTTAGCTGAATGAGACAGTTTTGTGTAAGGGCTGCTTGGCTGACAGCTCGGAAGGTATGTATGACCTTCCAGGGTTTGACAGGACTCCCTGCAAAGTGTCGCCGGAAAACTCACCTCGTTGCGCGGCCCGGAGCTCCAGGATGCCCGCCCCAAAGAGGACGCGGAGACGGACACACACCTGCCGTTAAAATACCACAAGGTGTCAAATAAACTCGAGCCGGTACAGATTGTAGTCCAGCTCCGACACTGCCTCCACCATGGACCCGCCATGTTCCCCAGCAGCGTGCAGTCAGGACAGGTTATATGAACGGAACCGGAAACAGTGAGCCAGTCGTCGGTCGGTGACGATTCATAACAAGGAAGTAGCGTTAGCTGTAAATGGCGGAGAGTTGAGCAGGAATATGAGCAGATGAATCATTTTTAATGAGTTGTATGAAAGAAATGCCGTGATAAATGTAAACTGTGGTTGTTTTGTGTTTAAATCTGAGCTGTAAAATTATTTTAGTGGTCTCCAGATGTGCTTGTTTGTAGCCTCTGGTCTCAGATCAGCCTAGTTACATCCACGTTATTGTTTAAAGCTTACATTTTAGGGTGTGTTTTAGTTGTGTTTGTTTAGGTATTACTCAAAAAAGCTGACAAAAAGTGCATGAAAGTAGTGTTTTTAGGGAAGATACAGCTTTTCGTTGACTGCCAGTTGATGTTTGTTAACATTGGTGGCTGTTTGTCTGCAGAGGAAAGTTACATTGTGTTGTTGTTACACTGAAACATTGTACTTATTCGTTCACACTACACTACATTTGTATAAATATGCACATTGCAGTATGTATTCTGCACTTCATTAAAAAACAACTCTACTGTAGTACACTTTTTGACAGTGATAGTAACTAGTTGTAGGTTCAGATTTCAAATGATCAACAAATATAACATGATGCATTTTTTATAGAACAAACTACTCCACAGTAAATGAAGTGGTTAAAACCTTAATACATCAATAACAACATAAGTATTTTTACGTTTTATACTGAAACATTAAGCTGATAATACTTTTGAATGCAGGACTTGTGAACATTGTGGTTTTATCTTGAGTAAGAATCAGAGTACATCCTCCACCACTGCTGTTTGCCTTATGAGGATGACCAGCGGGAGGTCATAGTTTATTTATTATTTAATTTATTACAACATCATTGCTTACAGGGCAAAGGCAGCTGCTCTGTCTGGGGAAATGTGCAGCATCCAAACAGTTTTAGTCTTTGCTCTCGTAGCAGCAACCAGCTTCACACCTGTATATGTCCTGGAGTTCTGCCAAGCTACTGACCGTGAATGCCACAGTCATGACGAAATGCCATCAGGCACCGTCAAATCCAGGTGGAACATGAGTGTTTCAGACCTCCTACAGGACCTGGACCAATTCAGTGTGTCCTGCAAGAAGCTTATAGGTAAAAGAGATTCTTCATCACTGGTAAATGTATTTAAATAAAGGTTTATATAATGAAAGTGTGTAAATAAATGTCACCACCATTCTGTCCTTTCTGCAGAAGCATTTCCAGTAGATGAGGTTGATGGCAACTTTGTTCGCACTGTAAAGAACTGCATATTCTCCAAATCCATTCCAACCCCACTGAAAGGCCCGTTAAGACTGGCAGCAGTTTCCAAGGTGCTGTTGTAATAACATCATAAGCGTCACGTAGTGTTTGTTTAATAAGAGAGGAATCCACTTATATTTCAACTTGTCTCAACAGGATGTCATTGAAGGCATCTTAGATGTAGACGTGGCTGTAACACAGTCTGAGGAGTTCCTGCAATATGCCAGTGGTGGCAGACTGCTACAAGGATCGGTACCACTTGCACACAGATATGGAGGTCATCAGGTAGAGTTAGTTTCGGATTTCGTTTAGATTAAGTCTTACTGGATTGCATTAAATATTCATGTCCATAGCTGAGCTTAGTTAAGTCACTTGATATCTTTTCCATACAAATACATAAATTCTTATAGTTCCTTTAATCAAATCACAATCAGATTTTCTTTTTTTGACCAGGGACATATACAGATACACCTCAACAGATATGTCATCAACCAATAGTTAAACTAAACCAAATTGATCAACAATGCCAAAGAAACATGGAATTCTGTAAATTTCCTTTAAGATAATAATACCTGTACATCTGATCATAGTTGGTGACATTAAAATTCACTAATAAATATTCCTCTCCCTCAGTTTGGCTACTGGGCAGGTCAGCTTGGCGATGGTCGAGCACATTCTCTTGGTCAGTATACAAACAGGTGAGAATATTTTTGCATTAGATTCCTTGTGTATTTAAAGTAATGTATATTTAAGTTGCATCGTTGGTTAATGTTTCAACTTATTTTCCTCATAAAATGCACCACAGGAACGGAGAAGTATGGGAACTGCAGCTCAAAGGCTCTGGAAAAACACCATATTCAAGGTAAGTTTATTTTCCAGCCATGGCCTTTTTCTTCCTTTTCATTATTTTTTCTCCTTGTTTCACTTTGCCACATTTGGCACAATTGCATGTTGGTGAAATCAAATGGCAGCAAGAGGCCACTTTTGAAATGTCTATATGAATTTTAATACAGGTCAGGCGATGGTCGAGCTGTGATCCGCTCCTCTGTAAGGGAGTTCCTGTGCAGTGAAGCCATGCATTTCCTGGGTGTTCCAACCAGCAGGGCTGCCAGGTGAGAGAAACAGGTGATGGATGAAAGGCAACAAACAGGGTTATCCTATCAGAGGATCTTTTTTTCATTATTAATATGTCTTAATTTTTTGTGTTCATTAATGTATTGATAATATATGACTGTTAGCTTACAGCAGTTACTTAAACTTTTAAAAATAATTCAGAAATTGTTAAATTTGTTTTCTCTGTTTCACATAACATGTTTAAAAAAACGCTTAGAAGGCCAATATGTGTACATATATCTCTGGTGCACAACATTATTTGGCATTAAGATTGATAAAGTCAGATGAACTACCTGCTTGAATTAACTGAATTACACAACATGCACCTGCAAAAGGGAGAAATGTGAATCTATGAAGGTGCATGTGTTTTCTGTTATTGATCTGACAATGCTTTGCTTTGCTTTAGTCTAATTGTAAGTGACGAGCCGGTGTTGAGGGATCAATTCTACAATGGCAATGTGAAGACAGAGAGAGGTGCAGTGATTCAATAAAAAAACTACATTTCGCACACAATCAGTTACATTTATTATTTCATTATATGTTTTAGTAGAGCTTTGTTATATGTTTTTTTTTTTTTTTACCAGGAGCTGTTGTTCTCCGGTTAGCAAAGTCATGGTTTCGGATTGGATCTTTAGAAATTTTGGCTCAAAGTGGAGAGATAGATCTCCTGAGGTCAGTCTAACTGCATTATCATAATGTCAGTGCTTTCTTCTCATTCTATTACAGCTTGTTACAACATGTTGTTGTTCTGTTGATTTTAGAAAGCTGTTGAACTTTGTGATTGGTGAACATTTTGCTTCAGTCGATTCAGATGACCCAGATAAATATTTGGTAAGTTAGGTTAAAAAAAGAAAATGCGGTCATGATTTTTTTGCTCACTGCTACCACTGTTTCATGCTTTTTATTTTCTTATATTTTCATGTTTCCAGGTGTTTTATTCCACAGTTGTAAATGAAACAGCACACCTGATTGCCCAGTGGATGTCTGTTGGGTTTGCACACGGTGAGAACTCGGTCTGACTGAACATTTTATCACACATTTCGTGCCAACAACTACTGATATCTGCTGTGTGTCATCCCAACAGGTGTGTGCAACACAGACAACTTCAGTCTGCTGTCTATCACCATCGATTACGGACCATTTGGCTTCATGGAGTCGTATAACCCCAGTGTGTATGATAATGCATTTCATTACAGTAACTGAATGCCCTGCTCTCATGAAATATCAAACAAAGCTTTAATGTTGCAGATTTTGTCCCCAACACATCTGACGATGAGGGCAGATACAGCGTAGGAGCTCAGGCCAACACTGGACTGTTCAACCTGGAGAAACTCTTGATGGCTCTCAGTCCGGTGCTTTCTGAAAAACAGCAGAAAGAGTAAGTAAGCGGCACGGAGTAAAAGAGAAGAAGCAGCTCTCAGCAATCACAATTGGTTGATTTATATGTTAAATTTAAGTATATTTGAATGAAATATTCTTTAATAGTTATTAGTGTAAGAAAGCAGCCTTCTGAGTGACTGAGTCATATCGGTGCAGAATTGGCGCACAAATTTCTTTCCAGCTCAAAAATGTACTATATTGGCCGCCATGTCAGTATGTTATAGTATCAGTATGTGAATTCTCTTCCCTCTAAAATCGGTATCGTATCGGTCAAAAAGATTCCATATCAGTCGTGTTCAAATGATAATTGTTAATATCAAGAATATGGGAGGAGTACTGACCTCTGTTTGCCACTAATATAAGGTGCAACAACAAACAACCTTTTGCATATTACAAACTTTGAATTAAAAGTAATCTTTGACTGTGCAAAATGATTGGAAGACAAGAGAAGAAGCAACATACAACTTTCTAAGACAGCATAATTTTGAACTTACTTGTCTTCTTTTTCTTCCTCAGGGCTAAAATGATTTTAAAAGGATATGTTGATATTTACCATATGAGGTGAGCTCCATGTTTCCTAATATCTAAGCAGTTATAGAGTTATAGTACAATATGTTATTTTCTAGCTTAATCATGCTTGTATTTCAGGATTCATCAGCTATTTAAAGCTAAACTGGGGCTTCTAGGTGAAGAGGAGGAGGATGGCTACCTCATTGCGTTCCTGCTTAAGGCAAGTCAGTAACAATGAGTAAATGTTTACTGGCCTAGACTTTTTTACATAGTTCATCTCATTCTGCTAAATCAATTTAAACTCTCGTCTGTTTACTGGCTGTATAAAAATTTCATTTTTTTTTCTCCAAAATCTACTTTGTGTTTGTCTCCCCAGATGATGGAGGACACACAGTCAGACTTCACCATGACATTCAGGCAGCTCAGTGAAGTTTCAGCCCAGCAGCTTCACAACAGTGACTTCACACAGGTGGAGCTTAAGGGCCAATGTTACATTCCCGTTTTTAGATTCAGTTTTGAATTTGGTGACATCTTTAATATCTGTACCAAGCACTCAATGATGTGGTGTATTAGCAGTCCACGTCCAAGACATCGTTTGGCAATGAAATATTGTGTTGTGCAGCAAATGTAGAAGTAAAAGGATGAATAAATGTTGACAAATGTAACAAAATATACATTTATCTAGCTGTGTTTCCACTGAAAGTGGAAGTGGAACTTTTATTCCCAGGAACTAGTTTTCTAGGAACTAAAAGGTTTCTTCAGCCCATTGTTGTCCACTAACGAATGAAAAAGCAAAACAATGCTTTGTTCTGTAACTCCATCCATTGTGTTGTAGAGTATTTTCTTAGGCTTATAGTTTAAATAGTGAATTAGTGTTCAATTAGTATGCAGGTAAAACACATGTAAAATTCTACAACGGCAACAGCAAAAATTCTGCAGAACCAGAGTACTACTACTGTCTATTTTGACCCTTTTATGATTTTTATCTTTTTGCTGTGTTAGATGTGGGCTCTTGAAGACTTGTCGTCCCACAAGCTCTTCTCTGATTGGCTCAGAATGTACCTGCTCCGGCTCAGCAGGTAAGCAAAAAGATGTAATGCCAAGTTAGTTTGGTAACCCAAGTTTCTCTTAAATGTTCACATGATTTCACATTTTCTGTGCTTGAAAACACTTGCTATACTCTCTCATTCCTATTTCAGTTTGTGTCACAGTGTTGTTGTTGTTGTTGTTGTTGTTGTTTGTTGTATTTGGACTATTACAAAGTAATATTTTTTTCCTCTCTTCAGACAACGAGATGATAGTGATTTAGATCGCCAACACAGGATGAAAAGTAAGCCACTAAATCTACATATTAGTGTTCATTTTGGTTGATTTCAAATTTTATAGTGAGTCATGACATTGTCCCTTAAAACAGCGAATAAGGAGGAATGCACTTACACATATATATATTTCTGTAATGTGATGATGTTTTACCAATATCTTTTAGATGTAAATCCTAGATATGTGCTGCGGAACTGGATGGCAGAGTCTGCTATAGGGAAAGCTGAGATGAACAATTTTTCTGAGGTGATAATACAATATTTAATTTATATTAAATTGTTTATTATAATGTGCTTTTTCTGTTACAAGTTGTTTGTTTGTAACATGGTGTTCTTTTTATTTCACCCCACTAGGTGGAGCTGCTGCACCACATCATGTCCTTTCCCTTTGTTACACAAGAGACTGCAGAGGAGGCGGGCTATGCAGCAAGACCTCCAGTGTGGGCTAAGAGGTTAAAGGTCAGCTGTTCCTCTTGAGTAACTCCTTGATTGAGCAAAGTACTAAAATGAAGAAGAATTACAACCCAGCTGAGCTTTTATAGTACATTGTGGTCATTTATGTCCTGTTGGTGGAATATATTTGGTCCAAAATGTCAAGGTCATGGTTCTTTTATACTCCTTTCTACCCACTATGTGTGGATACAGTGACCAACAAAAAATGTATAATTGTATATGGCTCTTAGTGTAACAGAAGAATGAAATTCTAATTGTATTTAGCTCATAAAAGTGTACTTTGACTGTTTGACAACTACATACTTTCATCCATATTGACACCAAAATAAATACAACGATGCTACTGTGGAGGCTGTCCTACTGCTTTTATACAGATCTAGGTTCATATACAATATGACTTTTCACCCCATTCACATACAGCACACACAAAGTAAAAGTAAAGTAGATCCAAAGCTTTTTTTTCATATTAATAGCGTTCATAGCATTTCTGAGGCTTGATATTGATTATGAGATGATTACCTGGGGGGTTGTTGCTTTGAGATGCCAATGGCAGCAGGTTGTACTTGATGATAGGGAGAAGACGCAATAATTCAATACCAATAAGAAAAAACTATTGCATTTTCTATGCTAACAGGAATTGTAAAGATTTATTTAGGAAGTTCTATTTAGGCAAAAGACATTTGAAAGCTGGGGCACACTGTACAATATATGCCCAAGTAACTCCATGCAAACAATATGTACAATTCTACAAAGGTATCTCTTTGGAGTATGATGACAGCAGTATATTCATTATGTCATACCAAAAAACTGGTTTCTGTAAAACGCAAAAAACGGTCTTATATATAAAGTTTTCTCTACAGTCCTGTAATTATTTTGTCCTAGAAATTATCACCATTCACTTCATTCATGCAAGATTATGTTTTGTATAAGCAGTTTAGGAAAAAAGATGGATGGACCACCGTCTGTTTTCTGGAGGATATGAAGTCTGTACTGATCTCCACTGGCTTCATGTTGGAGACGTTCAGTATTGTTGTGGATGTAAAGAGTAGCTGTTGCTGCTGAAATCAATACGAGGTTGATTAAGGGTCAAGTTGGTCGTTGTGCAGGCGCATTTTGTACAATATTTATACTCCACAAATTCCTGGGTGAGGCTAATTAGTGCCACGCTTCTTGTTCATGGCCAGCATGAGTTCTGACATGAAGTCTCCACCTCCATCTCCACCTCCTCCCTGTGGCGCTGGTGTAGTCCTCTTTGGCGGAGCAGGAGGCATCTTCTTCACTGAGCCAGTGGGCCGCACAGCTGCTGGTCTCAGGGCTGCAGGCTGTGGAGGTGGAGGTGGAGGCGGAGGTGGAGGTGGTGCTCCTCCAGCCCCCGTGAACATTGGCTGAAGTGGAGGCGGTGGTAAAAAGCCTGGATCTGGCGGTGGAGGAGGCAGAGACTGGTCCATACCTCCAAAACTACCTGGGGGAGGCGGTGGTGGTAGGGAGCTCATTGGCGGTGGAGGAGGTGGCAGTGAACCATAGCCAGTGGCAGGAGGAGGAGGAGGTGGAAGGAAGTCTGGCGGGGCCTCTGAGGCATCGTTGATGGGTGGGGGCGGTGGTGGAGGAGGGAGGTTGTCCATTGGAGGTGGAGGGAAGTTGCTTGGAAGGTGTCGCTGGGGGATGGCAGGTTTTGGGGAACCCTTGGCAGCCAAAGGAGGTGGTAGAGGAGGGAGGACAGGGTCTGGAGGTGGTGGAGGGAGCATATCGGCCATTGGTGGAGGTGGAGGTGGAGGTGGAACATTTTCAAAGTCCTGCGAAGACAGAATGTAACATAATGATACAAAATGTACAAGAGGGGGACACGTTTTTATTTATTGATAATGAAAATAATCCTTAGTTTAACCCCTAATGAAGAGATTCTTACGTTAGAAACAGGTCTTGGTTGGGGCTTGGGAGCATGACCATTGGCCTGGCTTGGTGATTTAGCTGGCAGAGAAGCAAAAACCATGAGTGAACATACTGTACAAGCAAAAGGTTTGTACTAATATTACCACATCTGGATTGTTTCAAATCAGTGGAACGCTCAGTAAGAGCAGGTTGTGTGTCGTGCTACTTTTGATGGTGGGTGATGGTGTTGATGGATTGGAGCTTGATGGAGTGCTGCGGTTCGTCCACACGGAGCTGATGGCAGACTTCTTCTCGGCTGTTTTATAGTTTTCATACAACGACACACCGTACTGGAAGTGCAAGGAACACACCACAGAGCATGAATTCTGGTCACATGGAAATTATTTCCTGTTATTAAATGCAGAGCTTAGAGTTTAATGTACCTTTGCGATACGTATGCCGGTTACCCAAAGGTTCATGGTCCAAGCATCATCACAGCACAGGTACTTGATGTACTGGGACTCTTTTTGGATCTGAGGATGCTGTGGTGAGTAAAAAAAAAACTTTGAATAAAAATCAATGCAGCCAGAGATATCATTGTTTTCTTATTCCATGCATTCTTCCATGTCAAAACTTGGGGCCTACTTTACCCACAATGCAACTCGACTGCTGACAGTTCACTTAGAGTTTTGGACGTGTTGTGCTAATAGCGATTAATGTTGCCTCAAGTTGCTGC